GGGGCACCGATCTGCGCACTGTTTCTGAGTCATTTGCCGTGTGAGTGTGAATCACTTAAGGTTCTGGAGTACTCAGGTAGAAGCAAATGGCAGCTTTTCGACTATTGAGGTGGCAGAAGAGCAGAACTTGCTCTCGCTCTTCCGCCAATTCGCTCGTTCGCCAGGTGCCTCATGACAGCCGAACAGTAGAAAGTGTATGCGATCAAAATGAAATTCGTAGTGATCTGGACGTGGAAGGGCCTAAAACTTCACTATCATTCGAGTGACCATTCTTCGATGCTGGCTGTCCTCAGTGCTTACGATCTCCTTCCTACCTAGCGGTTGAGTGCGGCCCATCTCGTTGTTTCCATGGCAGTGATGTGCCCCGTATGAAATGCCTGGAGCGGACAAAACACCCCGGCGAGGGGTAATACTATAGTAGTGAATCGGTTGAGTTGTGAATTGTTCAGAGAGTTTCACACCGCCCGCGCTGAGCGTCCGGAGAGTTTCCGTTTCCGGAAATTCATCAGTAATCGCCATGGTATTGCCCGTTTCCCGTCGCTCCCAGAAGGGTTCCGCCGACCATCTACTGATCTTTTCGTCTTCTTGTATGCTGTCGACTCCTTTAGCTAACCTAACCTTTCGGTACCTACGGATGCGTGGTTGATATTTGTCTTTTTGCTGGTTAGGAGTATATTTGTTCAGGTCGTGTAAGTGCTTGAGCAAACGAGAAAACCTTCATTGTGTTGTTGCCAACACAGCTCAAGACAAAAGTACTATGTGACGTCAAGGAACGCCAGATTTCTCACGACAAATCCTGCTACATGAGCACCCTTTGCTAAATCGAACCTCCACTCGCCTGTAATGTGATGGTGGGCTGTATGAGCCATCAGGTCTAAAGAAGAGGCATCACCTTAAGTGAAGTTTATCTCATTTTGCAAATAATAAGCACTGAGAATGCTTTCAAGGAGTGTACAGTACGTTACGGACTGTTTACAAGAGGCCATACATTGAGGAACCCGCGTCTGTTAGCATCTTTAGAACTTGGCACATTAGACACCATAGGATTGCATGGGAATACCGAAAAATTTGACCCACCTGCTTATTCATTATATGAAAACTGATAGGACTGCTAGAAACCGGTTGAATGAAACATACCGCAAAGCAATCCTCAAAACAACAGCGGCTATCCAAACATATCGACCAAAACCAACCTCCACTATCTCACGTCTGATAGCATCAGAGGACAAAAAGCATGATCCTGCTAATGTGACGGCAGCCAGTGACCAGGAAAAAGGGAGATTCCTTCGGTGAAGATAACTCCACAATAGTTTATCACGTCTGCTTCACACGCAGAAGGTCGCCGGTTCGATCCCGGCCAGGACCTTCCTTTTGATGATAAGTGTGACAAGTGAACCACCGTGATGTACCTGTCTGACTGGCCCGCAGGTAGGACGAGATTTGGACTGCGTGCTATGCAGTGAATGTGGAACTGTGCTCTCTTTGCCGGATCGTGTGGTCCTGTGGTGTAGTGGTTATCACGTCTGCTTTACACGCAGAAGGTCGCCGGTTCGATCCCGGCCAGGACCTTCCTTTTGATGATAAGTGTGACAAGTGAACCACCGTGATGTACCTATCTGACTGGCCCGCAGGTAGGACGAGATTTGGACTGCGTGCTATGCAGTGAATGTGGAACTGTGCTCTCTTTGCCGGATCGTGTGGTCCTGTGGTGTAGTGGTTATCACGTCTGCTTTACACGCAGAAGGTCGCCGGTTCGATCCCGGCCAGGACCTTCCTTTTTGATGATAAGTGTGACAAGTGAGCCACCGTGATGTACCTGTCTGACTGGCCCGCAGGTAGGACGAGATTTGGACTGCGTGCTATGCAGTGAATGTGGAACTGTGCTCTCTTTGCCGGGTCGTGTGGTCCTGTGGTGTAGTGGTTATCACGTCTGCTTTACACGCAGAAGGTCGCCGGTTCGATCCCGCGAGTTACCTTCCTTTTTGATGATAAGTGTGATAAGTGAACCACTGTGATGTACCTATCTGACTGGCCCGCAGGTAGGACGAGATTTGGACTGCGTGCTATGCAGTGAATGTGGAACTGTGCTCTCTTTGCCGGATCGTGTGGTCCTGTGGTGTAGTGGTTATCACGTCTGCTTTACACGCAGAAGGTCGCCGGTTCGATCCCGGCCAGGACCTTCCTTTTTGATGATAAGTGTGACAAGTGAACCACCGTGATGTACCTATCTGACTGGCCCGCAGGTAGGACGAGATTTGGACTGCGTGCTATGCAGTGAATGTGGAACTGTGCTCTCTTTGCCGGATCGTGTGGTCCTGTGGTGTAGTGGTTATCACGTCTGCTTCACACGCAGAAGGTCGCCGGTTCGATCCCGGCCAGGACCTTCCTTTTTTGATGATAAGTGTGACAAGTGAACCACCGTGATGTACCTATCTGACTGGCCCGCAGGTAGGACGAGATTTGGACTGCGTGCTATGCAGTGAATGTGGAACTGTGCTCTCTTTGCCGGATCGTGTGGTCCTGTGGTGTAGTGGTTATCACGTCTGCTTCACACGCAGAAGGTCGCCGGTTCGATCCCGGCCAGGACCTTCCTTTTTGATGATAAGTGTGAAGTGAACCACCGTGATGTACCTATCTGACTGGCCCGCAGGTAGGACGAGATTTGGACTGCGTGCTATGCAGTGAATGTGGAACTGTGCTCTCTTTGCCGGATCGTGTGGTCCTGTGGTGTAGTGGTTATCACGTCTGCTTCACACGCAGAAGGTCGCCGGTTCGATCCCGGCCAGGACCCTTTTGATGATAAGTGTGATAAGTGAACCACTGTGATGTACCTATCTGACTGGCCCGCAGGTAGGACGAGATTTGGACTGCGTGCTATGCAGTGAATGTGGAACTGTGCTCTCTTTGCCGGATCGTGTGGTCCTGTGGTGTAGTGGTTATCACGTCTGCTTTCACACGCAGAAGGTCGCCGGTTCGATCCCGGCCAGGACCTTCCTTTTTGATGATAAGTGTGACAAGTGAACCACCGTGATGTACCTATCTGACTGGCCCGCAGGTAGGACGAGATTTGGACTGCGTGCTATGCAGTGAATGTGGAACTGTGCTCTCTTTGCCGGATCGTGTGGTCCTGTGGTGTAGTGGTTATCACGTCTGCTTTACACGCAGAAGGTCGCCGGTTCGATCCCGGCCAGGACCTTCCTTTTTGATGATAAGTGTGACAAGTGAACCACCGTGATGTACCTGTCTGACTGGCCGCAGGAGACGCAGATTTTGGACTGCTGCACTGCCAGTGAATGTGGAACTGTGCTCTCTTTTGCCGGTCGTGTGGTCCTGTGGTGTAGTGGTTATCACGTCTGCTTCACACGCAGAAGGTCGCCGGTTCGATCCCGGCCAGGACCTTCCTTTTTGATGATAAGTGTGATAAGTGAACCACCGTGATGTACCTATCTGACTGGCCCGCAGGGTAGAAGGAATTGACTTCTATCCATAATGTGGTGGAACTGTGCTCTCTTTGCCGGATCGTGTGGTCCTGTGGTGTAGTGGTTATCACGTCTGCTTTACACGCAGAAGGTCGCCGGTTCGATCCCGGCCAGGACCTTCCTTTTGATGATAAGTGTGACAAGTGAACCACCTGTGATGTACCTATCTGACTGGCCCGCAGGTAGGACGAGATTTGGACTGCGTGCTATGCAGTGAATGTGGAACTGTGCTCTCTTTGCCGGGCGTGTCTTTGTGGTCTTAGTGGTTATTCACGTCTGCATTTAGCACGCAGAAGCGTTCGCCGGGATTCGAATCCCGGCGAGGACTTCCTTTTTTTTGATGATAAGGAGTGATTAGATGAACCACATGTGATGTACCCTATTCTGACTGTCTGACTGGCCCGCAGGTAGGACGAGATTTGGACTGCGTGCTATGCAGTGAATGTGGAACTGTGCTCTCTTTGCCGGATCGTGTGGTCCTGTGGTGTAGTGGTTATCACGTCTGCTTTACACGCAGAAGGTCGCCGGTTCGATCCCGGGCCAGGACCTTCCCTTTTTTGATGATAACGTGTGATTAGTGAACCACTGTATGTACCTATCTGACTCGGGGGGCCGCAGGTAGAAGAGTGATTTTGGACTGCGTGCTATGCAGTTGAATGTGGAACTGTGCTCTCTTTGCCGGATCGTGTGGTCCTGTGGTGTAGTGGTTATCACGTCTGCTTTACACGCAGAAGGTCGCCGGTTCGATCCCGGCCAGGACCTTCCTTTTTGATGATAAGTGTGACAAGTGAACCACCGTGATGTACCTATCTGACTGGCCCGCAGGTAGGACGAGATTTGGACTGCGTGCTATGCAGTGAATGTGGAACTGTGCTCTCTTTGCCGGATCGTGTGGTCCTGTGGTGTAGTGGTTATCACGTCTGCTTCACACGCAGAAGGTCGCCGGTTCGATCCCGGCCAGGACCTTCCTTTTTGATGATAAGTGTGACAAGTGAACCACCGTGATGTACCTATCTGACTGGCCCGCAGGTAGGACGAGATTTGGACTGCGTGCTATGCAGTGAATGTGGAACTGTGCTCTCTTTGCCGGATCGTGTGGTCCTGTGGTGTAGTGGTTATCACGTCTGCTTTACACGCAGAAGGTCGCCGGTTCGATCCCGGCCAGGACCTTCCTTTTGATGATAAGTGTGACAAGATGACCACTGCTGTGATGTACCTATCTGACTGGCCCGCAGGTAGGACGAGATTTGGACTGCGTGCTATGCAGTGAATGTGGAACTGTGCTCTCTTTGCCGGATCGTGTGGTCCTGTTGGATGATAGTGGTACACGTCTGCCTTTACACGCAGAAAGGTCGCGGGGTTCGATCCGGCCAGGACCTTCCTTTTTTGATGATAAGGTGAATTATGAACCACTGGTGATTGTAACCTATCTGACGGCCCGCTAGTAGGACGCACGATTTGGATCGCGTGCTATGCAGTGAATGTGGAACTGTGCTCTCTTTGCCGGATCGTGTGGTCCTGTGGTGTAGTGGTTATCACGTCTGCTTTACACGCAGAAGGTCGCCGGTTCGATCCCGGCCAGGACCTTCCTTTTGATGATAAGTGTGACAAGTGAACCACTGTGATGTACCTATCTGACTGGCCCGCAGGTAGGACGAGATTTGGACTGCGTGCTATGCAGTGAATGTGGAACTGTGCTCTCTTTGCCGGATCGTGTGGTCCTGTGGTGTAGTGGTTATCACGTCTGCTTCACACGCAGAAGGTCGCCGGTTCGATCCCGGCCAGGACCTTCCTTTTTGATGATAAGTGTGACAAGTGAACCACCGTGATGTACCTATCTGACTGGCCCGCAGGTAGGACGAGATTTGGACTGCGTGCTATGCAGTGAATGTGGAACTGTGCTCTCTTTGCCGGATCGTGTGGTCCTGTGGTGTAGTGGTTATCACGTCTGCTTTACACGCAGAAGGTCGCCGGTTCGATCCCGGCCAGGACCTTCCTTTTTGATGATAAGTGTGACAAGTGAACCACCTGTGATGTACCTTATCCTGACTTGGCCGCAGTGACGAGATTTGGACTGCGTGCTATGCAGTGAATGTGGAACTGTGCTCTCTTTGCCGGATCGTGTGGTCCTGTGGTGTAGTGGTTATCACGTCTGCTTTACACGCAGAAGGTCGCCGGTTCGATCCCGGCCAGGACCTTCCTTTTTGATGATAAGTGTGACAAGTGAACCACCGTGATGTACCTATCTGACTGGCCCGCAGGTAGGACGAGATTTGGACTGCGTGCTATGCAGTGAATGTGGAACTGTGCTCTCTTTGCCGGATCGTGTGGTCCTGTGGTGTAGTGGTTATCACGTCTGCTTTACACGCAGAAGGTCGCCGGTTCGATCCCGGCCAGGACCTTCCTTTTCGATGATAAGTGTGACAAGTGAACCACCGTGATGTACCTGACTGACTGGCCCGCAGGTAGGACGAGATTTGGACTGCGTGCTATGCAGTGAATGTGGAACTGTGCTCTCTTTGCCGGATCGTGTGGTCCTGTGGTGTAGTGGTTATCACGTCTGCTTCACACGCAGAAGGTCGCCGGTTCGATCCCGGCGCCAGGACCTTC